GTTTGTGGTTGTAATGTGACAAAATATGGAAAAGTTCAAGGGGTATGAATACTTTTGCAAACCACTGTACATGTATGGGCGTCTTCTATGGTACATGCAGAATGCCGAACCTGAAGAAAAAAGGGGAGCTGAACTCAGGTCCGTCCTCCCCTTTTATACGGACCGAGGTGAGGCCCACGTCACGTGGGCGTGGACTATTGGTCTTCAGAATGCGCGTACGCGCACGGGGGTACCCATCTGCGATAGCCTTAGAGGGCTGCGCTTACACTCATAGAATCTGGGGTTACAATACGTAACCAARGTTTTACTGTCTGAGTTGTGAGTAGCTGCCATCTTGAATTCTGAACTGTCCCACTTTCTGACAGGGAATTCCTACTTCCCAGAGTGTTCCAGTCTACATTTCTGACTTAAGAAGGAAATTCCCACTTCCCAGCCGAACTGAGACTTTACATGACATTCATACATCTTTGAAGGTCTCTGGGGCCACATGAAATTCTATGGGGTGGGGTGGGGTGGGGTGCATTTGGCCTGTGGGCCTTGTGTTTGACATGTGGTCTACAGGTAGATTTATTTCCTCTGTTGGATCTGACTGAACCGAACAGCTGATAGTGTTACAGTTAGATTATTTCCAGCTGATCTGTATTTAAAGGAGATAAGAACACATCCAGTTTGGACTGAAGCTGACATTTTCCTGCTTTTGTTTTGCACCGATGCTAAAACTGAGACGTTTTTAGAGCTAAATTGAGAAGCAGGAGTCTTCCTCCTCTTCTCTCTCCACAGCTCAGTGAAGAAGTTTCGGCAGCTGGCTGAACGAAACCTGAACCCTCCCATAAGTGTCCTCAAGCTTCACTCTACTTCTGTTTCCTGTTCCCATTTGTCTCCCTCCGTCCGAACATTAGAGGGAGGCGGCGGCTGATGAATCAATAGCTATTAGGTCGATGGTCTTGTCATGTCTCCCTGGAGCATCTCGGTCCTGCAGCAGCTGCCCGGGGGGCGGGGACACCTTGTTCTCAGTCGTACTCTCTCTCCCTCCGTCGTTCTGCTTTAATTTCAMCTCTGACACCAACAATAATCTCTGCTTAACTGAGACGTAGTGACGCTCTGTTACTCTACAACCAAGTGGCTCCAACTGATTGTTTCATGAGGGCAAAGGACTTACGGGACCAGAACTTTGTCAGAAATGATCCTTCTGGTCAAACGTCTTTCCTGAAATTAAAACAAACAAACTAGTTTAATGTAGTCATTTCTCATGTTAAACTTAAATCAACATGAGGACTGAGTTCCTCGAGGCATCCAGTGCGACTTTTAAAGACTTACCTGGTCTTTGTAGAACCAAAGCAGGACCCGGGTCCTCTACACAAAGTTGGAGTTTGTTCTGGGTGCAGGTTGGACTCTTTGGGTGCTTTTCCGTTGACGTTCCAGTCCGATTCCAGTGGGTGGGTTTTGGAAGGTTGATGGAGGTGGTTTTTGAGTTTTTCGAAGAAGAGTTAATGCGCAAAACGAGAGATGGAAACATGCTGAATAAGTTCTGAAATTTAAAAAAAAATCACTAAAATTCGGAAGTAAAATTGGATGGAAACACGATTAATGTCTCTGCTACATTTGAAAAAAAAAGGCGCCTCGAGTTGTTGTAAAGGGAGCTCAGATGCAACCAGTGACTGTACCTCCTAGCCAATCAGTGATGAACAGTGTTCTTATGTTGCATTTTAGTGTCAACTGGGACCGCTTGGAACTACAACCTAGTAGGTACTAAAAAAGGGCTGGTTCCAAGAGTCTGGCCTAATGGAAATGGCTTCGAACTGTACCAACACTACACTAAGTGGAACTAGTGTAAAAGGGGCATTTGTCTCAGGTGGAGGAGTTCAGGTATCGGGTCTTGTTCCTGACTGATGCTAGGATGAAGATGGATCCACAGATCGGGGTCTCATCCTCAGTAAGGAGCGTGGTGCTTTGGTCAATCGTTGAGTCTAAAGACAAAACTCTGGATTTGTTGGTCTGCCTTCCTTCCAACCCTCATCTGAGGTCATGAGGGTTGGCTCATGACTGAAAGAACCTGTTCCTGGATACAAGGAGCCAACGTGAGCTTTAATCGTAGAGTGGATCAGACTTGGAGGGTGAGGAGCTCAGAGTAGAGCTGCTGCTCCTCTGGATCTAAAGGAGTCAGCTGAGGTGGTTCATCTGATCAGAACACCTCCCTTTAGGGGAGTTCTGGGCACGTCCCACTGTTAGGAGGCCTCGGGGAAGACCCTGTACTCGCTGGAGGGATTATGTACCATCTCTGGCCTGGGAACACCTCAGGGTCTGCCAGGACGAGCTAGAATATGTCGCTGGGGAGAGGGATATCTGGGTTTTGTTTTCTGGACCTGTTGCCTCCGCGACCCGACTCTGGATAAGCAGTAGAAGATGGAGATGGATAGATTATTCTCAAACTCAGCATCAAGGCTCCCCAGCCTTCTGTGTTCATGAATGATTCTGTGCTCTGCCCCGCGTTAATAATTCAGCCTGCTTTTAACCTGCATTCATATCAGCTACCACAGATGCAGATTGAATTGAGCGTAATGTAAAACCAACATCTGGATGAGCCCACCTCTCTGCACTCACAGCTCATTCCCCTCACTTCCTGTCATCCTCAGAGGCTTTATTTTTTTTTACCTCGCCTCACCTGTAATGTCTTCTCTTGGTCTCCACAGGTCCGGGGAACAACACGTCAGCYGGACTCGTCCAGTCCCAGTCCAGGGCCATGATCGCTGCCGCCGCCCGCCGCCGGGACACCAGCCACAACGAGCTGTACTACGAAGAGGCAGAGCATGAGCGGCGAGTCCGCAAACGGAAAGCACGGTGAGTCGGACAGGCCCGTGAAAAAATTCWAGGATGATTCTGATCCAAGATTGTTTTGAACAAAAGTAAAACCAAGATGGATACAGTTGTGTGAAAGTCCACCCTGTTTACTTTCAGGAGGCAAAAGAACAAATTCACCCCAAGGTCAGACTGTGTAATGACTTCCAAACTGAGGCAAAAAATACACTGCAAATATTGTCCACCTAACCAAGTTTTAAAATCTTATATCAGCCAAAAAAGTCTTTTTGATCTTGTTTTGAGAATGATTTACTA